TGTAGGGTGATCCTGTCCCCCAGAGTTACTATAGAGAGTAGGGTGATCCTGTCTCCCAGTGTTACTATAGAGTGTAGGGAGATCCTTTCCCCCAGTGTTTCTATGGAGTGTTGGGTGATCCTGTCTCCCAGTGTTACTATGGAGTGTAGGGTGATCCTATCCCACAGTGTTAAGATGCAGTGTTGGGAGATCCTGTACCAAGTGTTGCTATAGAGTGTAGGGTGATCCTGTCCCCCAATGTTACTATGAAGTGTAGGGTGATCCTGTTTCCCATTGTTACTATAGAGTGTAGGGAGATCCTGTCCGGTAGTGTAACTATAACGTGTAGGGTGATCTTGTCCCCCAGTGTTACTATAGAGGGAAGGGTGATCCCGTCCCCTAATGTAACTATAGAGAGTAGGGAGATCCTGTCCCCCAGTGTTACGAAAGAGTGTAGGGTGATCCTTTCCCCCAGTTTTACTATAGAGTGTAGGGTTGTCCTGTCCCCCAGTTTGTCTGTAGAGTGTATGGTGATCCTGTCATGAAGTGTTACTATAGAGTTCAGGGTAATCATGTCCGCCAGTGTTACTATAGATTGTAGGGTGATCTTGTCCCCCAGTGTTACTATAGAGTGAAGGGTGATGCTGCCCCCTAGTGTAGCTATAGAGTGAAGGGTGATCCTGTCCCCCAGTGTTACTCTAGAGTGTAGAGTGATTCTTTCCCCCAGTTCTACTATAGAGTGTAGGGTGATCCTTTCCCCCAGTGTAACTATAGAGTGTAGGGTTGTCCTGTCCCCATGTGTTACTAAAGAGTGTATGGTGATCCTTTCCCCAAGTTTTACTATAGAGTGTAGGGTGATCCTGTCTCTCAGTGTAACTATAAAGTGAAGGGTGATCCTGTCCCCCTGTGTTACTATAGAATGTAGGGTGATCCTTTCCCCCAGTTTTACTATAGAGTGTAGGGTGATCCTGTTCCTCAGTGTTACTATAGAGTGTAGGGTGATCCTATCCCCCAGTATTACTAAAGAGTGTTTGGAGATCCTGTCCCCAGTGTTACTATGGAGTGTTGGGAGATCCTGTCTCCCAGTGTTACTATAGAGTGTCGGGTGATCCTGTCCCCCAATGTTACTATAGAGTGTAGGGTGATCCTGTCCCCCAGTGTAACTTTAGAGTTAAGGTTGATCCTGTCCCCCAGTGTTACTATAGAGTGTAGGGTGATCCTTTCCCCCAGTTTTACTATAGAGATTAGGATGATCCTTTCCCCCAGTTTTACTATAGACTGTAGGGTTGTCCTGTCCCCCAGTTTTACTGTAGAGTGTAGGGTGATCCTGTCCCCCAGTATTACTATATAGTGTAGGGTGATCCTGTCCCCCAGTGTAACTTTAGAGTTAAGGTTGATCCTGTCCCCCAGTTTTACTATAGAGTGTAGGGTGATCCTGTCACGTAGTATTACTATAGAGTTCAGGGTTATCATGTCCGCCAGTGTTACTATAGAGTGAAGGGTGATCCTGTTCCCTAGTGTAGCTATAGAGTGTAGGGTGATCCTGTCTCCCAGTATTACTATAGAGTGTAGGGTTGTCCTGTCCCCATGTTTTAATGTAGAGTGTAAGGTTGTCCTGTCCCCAAGTTTTACTGTAGAGTGTAGGGTGATCCTGTCACGTAGTGTTACTATAGACTGTAGGGTGATCTTGTCCCCCAGTGTTACTATAGAGTGTAGAGAGATCCTGTCCCCCAGTGTTACTATAGAGTGTAGGGTGATCCTGTCCCCAGGGTTACTATGGGGTGTTGGGAGATCCTGTACCAAGTGTTACTATAGAGTGTTGGGTGATCCTGTCCCCCAGTTTTATTATGGAGTGTTGGGAGATCATGTTCCTCAGTGTTACTATAGAGTGTTGGGTTGTCCCGTCCCCCAGTGTTACTATGGAGTGTTGGGAGATCCTGTCCCCAGTGTTACTATGGAGTGTTGGGAGATCCTGTCCCCAGTGTTAATATGGAGTGTTGGGAGATCCTGTTCCCATAGTTACTATGGAGTGTTGGGTGATCCTGTACCAAGTGTTACTATGGAGTGTTGGGTTGTCCCGTCCCCCAGTGTTACTATGGAGTGTTGGGAGATCCTGTCCCCAGTGTAACTATGGAGTGTTGGGAGGTCCTATCCCCCAGTGTTACTATGGAGTGTTGGGAGATCCTGTACCAAGTGTTACTATGGAGTGTTGGGTGATCCTGTCCCAGGTGTTACTATGGAGTGTAGGTTGATCACGTTCCTCAGTGTTACTATAGAGTGTAGGGTGATCCTGTCCCCTAGTGTAGCTATTGGATTATAGGCGATATCCTGGAAAAATTACTATGTGGAAATGAAGCACAAAAACCAATAGATTTATTGCACTACCCGACACACTGTCATACTGATTGACTGGTATTGTCATTTACCAGACATACTGATTGGCTGGCATTGACATGTACCAGACATACTGATTGCTTACATTGACATGTACCAGACATTCTTATTGGTAAGCAATATCATGTACCAGACATACTGATTGGCTGGCATTGTCATGTACCAGACATACTGATTGGCAGGCATTGTCATGTACCAGACATACTGATTGGCTGGCATTGTCATGTACCAGACATACTGATTGGCTGTCATTGTCATATACTAGAGATACAGCTGAAGTGATTGTTTCCCTAGAAAAATCAATGTCTGATGGTTGTATGATCTGAACAAGCTAGAATCCAATATATCAAGGTCAATTAACATGAACAGTTGAACAGTATGTCTGTCTTGACGACCAATACTTTTGTCATATTTAAGTTTGTTGAATATTGAAAAATTGGTCACGTAATGGCTTCAGCTTGATGTGTGTAAAGTGTTGATAAACTTTTGCCATGTTGTCAGATGTTTGTCCTTCTGTATGTTGCCATCTTTTAACTTTTATTTAAAAAATGAGATTTTAGACTAAATTTGGTATGGAACATCCCTACTTCAATAGTATGGCCCTTCCAGGAGTAGGTGGGCAGGGCCCTATTGGAAAAAAAGTTACCTTGTAAATAACTACATATGGGTAAAGGAATTTAGTTTAAATGTGGTATGGAACAACCCTGAGCGAAGCAGACTTAATGTTGTATAAAAGTAGGGTGTGTGCATGATTCACCATTACACCTTATGTCCTGGAGTCATTCTCTGTACTTCCTCACAGAATTCTATAGACAATCCCTTCACTTTATATGTGTGTTACAACAGGAAGCTGGGATTTAAGAAGAATTACAACTAATATTGACCCTGCCTCAGCTTTGGCCACAGTAATGTTTATGAATGACCAGTTAAACAGGAATGAGCTTTGTGTTGTAACTGTGTTCTCTCCTCCTTGAGTGCTGGTCAATACATGTCTACAGTTCTTGTGACCTGCTCCCAGAACTGACTGTGGAATGATCTTGTCCCTCTATCTCGTTCTGTCCAATCATCCATTTTTGTTTGTTTTGCAAGATAACTTGTTTAAGTATTGCCTGATTTTGATATAGCAGGTAAACAATTTCCAGTTTGAATGAAATCTGTGCATATTTAATTAACATACACAAAGTACTATCCTCTGATTGGTGGACAGTTTCCACACAATAATGTCATATGGCTGGATTTCAATGACATGTAGTCAGTAAATATACTAAATGATGAAGAATTAGTTAGATTTATAGTGAAATCATCCTGTATTTAGGTAACACACAGCAACTACATAATTAGTTGGATGACAATCACATCAGATTATGTGGAAAGGGAGGTAACTCTTGTTTGTATGATATTTCAAAATTATATCTTTGAACGACAACAAATGTGCATATCAACCTGTTGCAACATTTTAAGACCAATTGGTCTCTTCACCAAGCAATGACTGAGTGAGTGGTCTTCATTTAGGATTTCACTATAATGACACCCTGTGGACACCTGGTCAATATTTAAGATATCACTATATTGACACCCTGTGGACACCTGGTCTATATTTAAGATATCACTATATTGACACCCTTGTGGACACCTGGTCTATATTAAAGATAACACTATAATGACACCCTGTGGACACCTGGTCTATATTTCAGATATCACTATATTGACACCCTGTGGACACCTTGTCTATTTTTAAGATATCACTATAATGACACCCTGTGGACACCTGGTCTATATTTAAGATATCACTATATTGACACCCTGTGGACCCCTGGTCTTAATAGAAGATATCACTATAATGACACCCTGTGGACAGCTGGTCTTAATAGAAGATATCACTATAATGACACCCTGTGGACCCCTGGTCTATATTTAAGATATCACTATAATGACACCCTGTGGACACCTGGTCTTAATAGAAGATATCACTATATTGACACCCTGTGGACACCTGGTCTTAATAGAAGATATCACTATAATGACACCCTGTTGATGCCTGGTCTATATTAAAGATATCACTATAATGACACCCTGTCGACACCCGGTCTATATATACGATATCACTATAATGATACCCAGTTGACACCTGGTCTATATTTAAGATATCACTATAATGACACCCTGTGGACACCTGGTCTATATTTAAGATATCACTATAATGACACCCTGTTGATGCCTGGTCTATATTTAAGATATCACTATAATGATACCCTGTGGACACCTGGTCTATATATATGATATCACTATAATGACGCCCTGTTGATGTCTGGTTTATATATAAGATATCACTATAATGACACCCTGTTGATGCCTGGTCTATATTTAAGATATCACTATAATGAAACCCTGTTGATGCCTGGTCTTTATTTAAGATATCACTATAATGAGACCCTGTGGACACCTGGTCTATATATAAGATATCACTATAATGACACCCTGTGGACACCTGGTCTATATTTAAGATATCACTATAATGACACCCTGTGGACACCTGGTTTATATATAAGATATCACTATAATGACACCCTGTTGATGCATGGTCTGTTTTTAAGATATCACTATAATTACACCCATCTGTGTTGCAGGTTATCAGTTTGGAGAGTTGGGTGAATATTATGTACTATGTGCAGGACGCTCATTCCTTTTGGGACTGGACATATTTTGTTGCTCTTATAGTTGTAAGTATACCTTCAGCATCATTCAGTAAATTGTTTCCTAAAACTTTGACTTTGAATGATCTTTTTGTGTTCATTTTGCTTGGATCAAATAAATTTGATTTAAAGTTTCTCAGCATTTTGTCTGCCTAGATATTGTGTAGTTGTTAGGTGATCGTTTTTCATATTTTTAATCATATTAGGTGATTGTATTTTTTATTCATAATCTAATTGAACTTTTGTATTGTTTTTCAGATTGGCTCATTTTTTATGATTAATTTATGCTTGGTTGTGATAGCAACACAGTTTTCTGAAACAAAAAAGAGAGAGACAGAGAGAATGATGCAGGAGAGAAAGCGATTCCATTCATCAAGTACATTAGCTAGTAACTCTGAACCTGGAGGGTGCTATTCTGAAATATTGAAATATGTTGCTCATTTATGTCGAAGAGCCAAAAGGGATATTACGAAGTTATACTATGAAGCTCGTGGACGAACTCACCCTCACAGAAAAATAAAGCCTGAATTGTCACTACGAAAGCACAAGAAAAAAGGTACACGCTATACAAAGGGCACAGCTTTGTCTCGCTTCTCCAAGCCTGGCTCCTGTCCCTGCTGCTCCCATCGCTGTAACTATTACTATCATGTACTTAACACTACTGACAACCATATATCACGTCGTAATAGTAGTCCGCTTGCACCTAGAGCTAGTCCCGAGATGTCAGACATAGAGTCTGTATCTTCACCACAACGACCAAACTTTCTGACGGTGCCAAGCATGAACAGTATGCGACTGTCATCTTCGGACTCAGTTAATACGCTGGCTTTGGCGGCCACTGACGCGCTTGGCCCCTCGCTACTAAAGTCTTCCCCCAACCATCTGGCCCTGCATGCGGCCAGTGTCAGTAGAACATCCTCATTTACTGTCAGTAGGAAACACCTTCCTTCACTGCCTGAGATGCTTGCCACACACTGTAATAAGAATGCTACATTAGCCTCCTCAAACACGCTGCTCCACCACAAGGCCTGCCATAAGGGTAAGTCACTCTGCTTTTCCTATTTAGAGACCTACCAGTTATTACTATGGACCAGATTAATAGCTTACATTTTACATTACAAAAAGTGTCATTCTGTGCAGCACAATGGTCTGTGTTAATGGCTGGTGGTCTGCAAGGACATACTATATCTGATGGAATGCACTTCTTTGATGCAAATCAATTCAAGCTGGGATAGCAAATTGTTATTGTCTGCTCAAAGCTTAGAGCAATTCAAAATACCAGTTTTTAGCTCACCTGCCCGAAGGGATAGTGAGCTTATGCCATGGCGCATCGTCCGTCCGTCGTCCGTCAACTTTTCCTTTTAACGACTTCTTTTGAAGAATGGACAGGCCTAGAGTCATGATATTTGGGTGGTAGCTTCTTTGGTAGGAGCCTGACAAAGTTTGAGAATGAAAATGACCTTGACCTACTTTCAAGGTCACAGCAGTCAAATATGTTAAACGCTTCAAACGACTTCTTCTGAAGAACTAAAAGGTATAGAATCTTCATATTTAGCTGGTGGCTTCCTTGGATGGAGCCCGATAAAGTTTGAAAATGAAATTGACCTTGACTTACTTTCAAGGTCACAGCGGTCAAATATGTAAAAAATCTTTAAATGACTTCTTCTGAAGAACTAATAGGTATAGAATCTTTATATTTGGCTGTTGGCTTCCTGAAATAGAGCCAGACAAAGTTTGAGAATGAAAATGTACTTGACATACTTTCAAGGTCACAGCGGTCAAATATGTCCAACACTTCAAACAACTTCTTCTGAAAAACTAAGAGGTATAAAATCTTCATATTTGGCTGATGGCTTCCTGGGATGGAGCCCAACATATTTTGAAAATGACCTTGACGTATTTTCAAGGTCACAGCGGTCAAATATGTCAACCGCTTCAAAGGACTACTTCTGAAGAATAAAAAGGTATAGAATCTTCATATTTCACTGTTGGCTTACTTGGATGGAGCCCGATAAAGTTTGATAATGAAATTGACCTTGATGTACTTTCAAGGTCACAGCTGTCAATTATGTCAAACACTTTAAACGACTTCTTAAGAAGAACGAAAAGGTATAGAATCTTTATATTTGGCTGTTGGCTTCATGAGATAGATCCCAACAAAGTTTGAGAATGAAAATGACCTTGACTTACTTTCAAGGTCACAGGTGTCAAATATTTAAAAACTCTTCGGATGAACTAAAAGGTATAAAATCTTTATATTTTTCTGTTGGCTTCCTGAGATAGATCCCGACAAAGTTTGAGAATGAAAATGACCTTGACTTACTTTCAAGGTCACAGGTGTCAAATATTTAAAAACTCTTCTGAAGAACTAAAAGGTATAGAATCTTTATATTTTTCTGTTGGCTTCCTGAGATAGATCCTGACAAAGTTTGAGAATGAAAATGACCTTGACCTTCTTTCAAGGTCACAGGTGTCAAATATGTCAAAAACATCAAACGGCTTCTTCTGAATAATCGTAAGCATAAAATTATAATATTTGGCTGGTGGCTTCCTGTGATAGAGCTCACCAAAATTTGCGAATGAAAATGACCTCAACCTACCTTAAAGGACAGAGATCAACAGCATTTTAAAGGATTAGTTCTTAAGAACCAAAATGGAATGGATTCATAAGATTTGGCTGGTAGCTTTTTGGGATAGAGCTAACAAAGTATGAGAAGGAAAATGACATTGACCTACTTACAAGGTCACATGGGAAAATATGTCAATTAACTTCTGAAGAAGAACCAAAGAGCATAGAATCATATAATGATATTTGGCTGGTAGTTTCAACAGATGGAGCCGACAAAGTTTGCAAGGGAAATATTTGTAGTGCAATATAATATTGAATGAGAATATTTTGCTATGACTGCTTAAATATTCAGGTGAGCGATACAGGCCCTCTGGGTCTCTTGTTTTGAATGTGACATATAGAGAAAATTTTCTAAAAATAAATTAATAAATAAATGGATTCTCTGTTAAAGATGAAATGCTGAAAATCTTCAATTATGAAAAATGTACATTATGATCATCATCTACATCATGATCAATAACCATGCAGTCTTCCGATTCTGTTGACTTTCTCTGTTGTACTGTTGTAACAAGTGCCTTATGTGTTGGTGACAACTCCAGGAGAACATTGCATCAAAGTAGGCATCCCTTAGTTTTATGTCTGTCTTCTCTGTTTCCATCCACCTCATGCTAAACACATGGTGAAGTGATCTGGAAAATGTCTCTGTTAAATTTAATGCCAATGTTTTATTGATGGTTATTCCCATCTAAAACTATAAAACAATATCTTATGAAGCAAATAGTAACAGGAAGGGAAGAAGGGGTGGACTGGACTTAGAAACACTTTATATAACTACAAGTAGATTGTTTTGCAGAACATTGCCTTTGTTTGAGATACAGCATGGCTCAAGCACTTGTGTTTACAAATGCACAGATATATATCAAGTGTAGATTACTGTTTACCATTATAATGTATACCCAGTGTAGATTACTGTTTATCATTATAGTGTATACCTAGTGTATATTACTGTTTACGATTATAATGTATAACCAGTGTAAATAACTTTTTACCATTATAGTGTATACCTAGTGTATATTACTGTTTACCATTATAATGTATACCAAATGTAGATAACTGTTTACCATTATAGTGTATACCTAGTGTATATTACTGTTTACCATTATAATGTATACCCAGTGTAGATAACTGTTTACCATTATAATGTATTCCCAGTGTATATTACTGTTTACCATTATAATGTATACCCAGTGTAGATAACTGTTTATCATTATAATGTATTTCCAGTGTAGATTACTGTTTACCATTATAATGTATAACCAGTGTAGATTACTGTTTACCAATATAATGTATACCCAGTGTAGATTACTGTTTACCATTGTAATGTATACCCAGTGTAGATCACTGTTTACCATTATAATGTATGCCAAGTGTAGATAACTGTTTACCATTATAATGTATACCCAGTGTAGATTACTGTTTACCATTTTAATGTATACCCAGTGTAGATTACTGTTTACCATTATAATGTATACCCAGTGTAGATTACTGTTTACCATTTTAATGTATGCCAAGTGCAGAAAAGTATTCATTTGTTTCTGTTACAGTTACATGTGACAGGATTTGATGCCATCATTTTGTTTATTGTTGAGCCATGGAAATAATTGTTTAGTGCTAAGTCTTTAGAAATCAAGGTTTTTATAAACTATTGATACAGTTCTTTGAAAACATATTTAGGTGTCCTAAGCTGCAAACACTGCTGAACTGTATGTCCTAACCAGCTTAGTTGTGTGGTCTGCCTTTAGAGCTGTGTGGCCTATATAAACAACTGAGCTGTGGCCTGAAATACTGAGCTGTGTAGCTAATACTGATGTACTATTGCTTTAAGTGCTGTGCTGTCTGGTCTAAATCGAAGTACTGTTTTGCCTAAACTGAAGTGCTTAGCTTACCATGTTTTCTGGTCTTAAAGTCTAAACTGTCTTGCCTTAAGTGCTGAGCTGTCTGGCCTTTAGTGCTGAGCTGTCAGGCCTTTAGTGCTGAGCTGTCTGGCCTTTAGTGCTGAGCTGTCAGGCCTTTGCGCTTAGCTGTCTGGCCTTAAATGCTGAGCTGTCTGGCCTTAAATGCTGAGCTGTCTGGCCTTAAATGCTGAGCTGTCTGGCCTTTAGTGCTGAGCTGTCTGGCCTTAATGGATGATCCATCTGGCCTATACTGCAGTGTTGTATGGCCTTTAGTGCTGAGCTCTGTCACAAATACTGCTATGCTGAATTGCCTTTAGAGCTTAACTGTCTGGCTTAAGCGCATACTGCTATGCTATTTTTCCCTTAACTTTTGTGTTGACTGGCCTTAACTGCTGAGCCCTCAGGTCTATCTTGCTGAGTTGTGTTGGATATATTGCTGAACTGTTTGGCCTCAAGTGTTGAGCTGTCTGGCCTTGATGGCTTAGCTGTCTGACCTTAAGTGCTGTGCTTCTTGGCCTTTAGTGCTGAGCTGTGTTGTCAAAACTGATGAGCTGTCTTGCTTTAATTGCTGTACTGTGTCAGCAATACTGCTATGCTGTCTGGCCTTAAGCACTTTGCTGTCGAGCCTTAAGTGTTGAGCTGTGTGGCCAAAACTGCTGTAATGTCTAGCCTTATTGGCTGATTGTCGAGCCTTAAATTCTGAGCTGTGTTGCCAAAATTGTTGAGCTGTCTGGCCTTGATGGCTTAGCTGTCTGACCTTAAGTGCTGTGCTTTTTGGCCTTTAGTGCTGAGTTGTCTGACCTTAAGTGCTGAGCTGTGTTGTCAAAACTGATGAGCTGTCTTGCTTTAATTGCTGTACTGTGTCAGCAATACTGCTATGCTGTCTGGCCTTAAGCACTTTGCTGTCGAGCCTTAAGTGTTGAGCTGTGTGGCCAAAACTGCTGTAATGTCTAGCCTTATTGGCTGATTGTCGAGCCTTAAATTCTGAGCTGTGTTGCTAAAATTGATGAGCTGTCTTGTCTTAATTGTTGAGCTTTTTGGTAATACTCCAGAGCTACCTTGCCTTAACTGCTGAGCTGTGTTGCCAATATAACTGAGCTGTCTATCTATGTGACCTTCACTCTTTTGCCTGGCTGGGTTTTGATTCTTAAGTTTTGGTTTTGTAGAAAAACCTTACAATCATCAGAGTCAAATTGTGACCAGAACAGTATATGCACTAAACACTGGATGTGACAAATTGACAGATATGTACTATAAGTGTATACCAACAAAACATACAGGTACAAAATATTTACATCAGCAGTCACAAACAAAGGTAACAACAACATACAACCACTAGATTGAAAAATCATCTGACAAAACAAACAATACAGCCGGCACAATACAGGGATCTACAAGATGACAGTGTACGTTTTAGATTGTATGGCACATCATTCTAGACACGACAACTGCTGTGTATGTTACATCATTCTAGACATGACAACTGCTGTGTACGGTACATCATTCTAGACACGA